TTTTTCTTAAAGAGACACGCTGCTCGCTCCCTCACTATCCATCCTCCAGCTCAAACTGTCTTATACTGCCATCTGGTGTACCACACACAAACATTAACCAACATTTCTTCTTAAATTTAACAATATTTACTAACTATTGTCAAATTTCAAACAATATTATCGTTTATCGCAATAATTTCTGAGACAATTAATTGCCCAGCAAAGTTTGTTATCGTGACAGGCCTACTGTTAAATAAAATGGTCCACTGCTGCCTGCAAATGTGAAAATCAAATTTAAAATTCAAAACTTCTGATTTTAAATCCCTTTCTAAGCTGAAAACGAGCGCCTTAACCAAAGCTCAGTCTGTCAGGTGTTGCCGTCTCGGAGGCGTTACCATGACTTTAAATGGAGCTGTGACCACTCTTGCAGCCCCGACTGCAGCACCTTAAAAACAACGTGGTGCCTCCACCCAAACGTTTCTGCTCCGAGAAAACAAAGGCTGAACTGAAACACCAGAGGAGCTAAAAACAGAGCTCGTTTTGCTCAGTTGGTGATCTATTTCTGGTTCTGATCCAGTTGTTGTGTGATCATCATCTCCGTCTGCACACTGTGCTCTTTCAGCTGTTTCTTTATCACAATGTTCGGCTCATTCAGGAGAAAGAATTTTCTAAATATTTACCATCAGTTACAAACGTTTTCCCCAAAGAAGTGCATCAAGATCTCTTCCATTCCTTCAAAACTTTCTTAGACAACAGTTTGTTTTTATGAGCTTATGCTACATTAGCTTTGACCTAGCCTTTAGCCGTGTAAATGTTTACGAAGCGTTCACACTACTGTAATCCATTTTTATTTGGTACATTTTTCGACGTGATTCTTGGCCTGCAGGTTTCAAGCTATTTCAAGAAATCATAAATCAAAACGTTCAGCTCTTTCTGCTATGACTTTTGGTTTTGGTGCAACTTTAGCTTTTTGAAATATTTAGCCTTTTCTGACATTTTTTCTCTCATAGAAAATTAATTGAGCTCATTTTCCATCCTTCAAATCTTTAGATCTGTTTACAACCTTTTACTGCTCCTTTCACATTGTGCTTTGCTTCAGCTTCTTTCGGCTTCCTTCTGCCAATTTAATTTTTCATCTAGTTTCAGCTTCCTGTTCACATTTAAACTTTTTCAGCTAGTTTCAGCTGTTTTGTTCTTCTTTAAGATGCTTTCTGCTAACTACAATATTTCTGTGCTTCTTCGAACTTCTTTCTGATAATTTCAGCTTGGTATGATACTTTAAAATTATTTCTGCAAGTTTCAGCCTTTTCTGCTATTTCAGCTAGTATTTAGCTGTTATATGCTAATTTTAGCTTTTTCAGCTAATTTCACATTTTTTGCACTCATTTCAACTTTTTTCATTAAAATTCAACAATAATGTGCTCTCTCCACTTCCTTCTGGTAATTTAAGCTTCTTTCTGCCTTTTCAGCTACTTTTCTGCTTTTTGACAATTTCAGCTTTTTTTCAGGTAATTCCCACTTTTTGTGCTCATTTCAGCTTCTTTCAGCCTAACTGGGCAAACATGTTCTTTCTGATTTCTTCTGCTAATTTAAACTTGTTCAAACTTTTCAGCTAACTTTTTTTGCATTTTTTAGCTAGTTTCAGCTGTTTTCAGATAAATTCCAAGTTTTTTGTGGCAATTCCAGCTACTTTCAGCCTAATTAACTTACTCCTGCCAATTTCAGCTACAATTTAGCTGTTTTTATGCTGATTTTAACATTTTCAGAGCTCCAATAAGTTCTTTCAACTTCTTTCTAGTAGTTTAAGCTTCTTTCTGTCTTTTCAGCTACTTTTCAGGTATTTATTTTTTGTTGCTAATTTCAGCTTTTTTAGCAAAATTCTTAATTTTTGTGCTTATTTCTGCTAATTTAAACCTAATTCAGCTCATGTGTGTTCTTTCTGCTTTCTTCTGCTAAAGTAGGCTTATTCTTCTATCTCAGCTACATTTCAGCTGTTTTTCAGCAAGTTCTTCAGCAATAAACATTCACACTGCATTTTCACAGGAAATGCAATTTCTCTAATTGTTTTGCAGTTACCTCTTGCTAACCATTTGCTACCTTTAGTTAGCGTTCTGCTTTTTCTTAAATCTTTCACAAATCTTCTGCTTTCACACAGAAAATATGAGTTCTGTTGAAGCTGAAGCTCCTTTCTTTATAAATATTTAGTTTTTATTTTGTAAAGCAGTCGGTGATGAGGTATTTTTTCCATATCGATCCTTTGACAGATCCAATTGGAATAAAGAGTAGAGTGCAGCGATTAATTTAAGAGAAAGGATGAAGATTAATCTGATTCTTGAACAAGATTATAAAAATAAACTCAGGTTAAGAGGAATTATTCAGATAAATAAATACAAACAGAAAGTCTTCAGCTTGGATTTGATGGCAGCAGAAAGCCGATCTTCCCTCTTTAATCCGGACGAATTACATCATTTTGGATTACACAGATCAGATTTTACCTTAATTTACCTTCTAAATAAGAATATGTTGCGTAATCTGCTGTAAGGATGTAAATATTATTCCCCTAATCCCATCCTTTCATCTGAAATATGATTTCTTTAAGTTCTGCAGGTCTTCGGCTGAAAGAGTGTGCAACCCATTTAAATTCCTGTCATTATTCCTCAGAAAGGCGAGTGTGCACGCTCCTAATGTTTTGGGTGCATTTTAAAACGTCTGTCGGAGCGGCAGATTACATAAGCAGCTCATTTCACGTCCGACGCACTTTGGAGATTGCGGGACGACTTAAAAAGGCTCAGCCAGGAGGATGGAGGAGGGAATCATTTGGGAAATGGAGGGATCTGCTCTCAGCAGGACGTGAGAAACGATCACAGATTATTTCATGTTTTCTGAGGTTTTTATGTCCTCCGCTGGATTATTAATGGCTGCAGCACCTCCAAACACCAGCCTGCTGACGTCACGCCGCTCTGCTCGCCATGGCAACGAGCAGGAGGATAAACAACTGTGACGTAACCGTGGCAACAAATAAACCTCCTGCAAGAGTCTGCCGCCCCCTGCTGCTCCGGGACAGTACTGCAGCGTGCGCTGATGTTCGGACAAATCAAGAGCTTAAATCGATAAAAACTAGAAATTAAACAAATCCTTCTGCTTTTCGACTAGAAGTTTTGTTGCAGGTTTTATTTTTAAACCATCAAAAACAAGGTGAAGGGGTGCAGCTTCTTCAGAACGACTTAAACCGAAACTCTCTGGGGACGATCAAGTTCAGACGGTTACCACGGCGACTGAGATCTGATATCGATAAGTTTAAATACCCCCCCGACGCTGCAGGCAGAAGGACAAGAACGCCGTTTCCTGCGTCTGTGTGCAAAACATCTCATGACCCCCAGATGAAACTTAAGCGGTCGGCCAACACAAACGCAGAAATGGCCCCAGTCCAGCCAGGTTGACACATTTATGGCTGGTAGTAGCTGAGAGTCGTCCACAAAACAGATCTACGTCGTCACAGTTTGAACAGAACGGCGTTAAGTCCGTCCCGCCTCGTCCTACGATGACACGAGTGTAAAACTCGTTGGGCGATGTTTGAAGTGCAGCGAGCGGACTCACCTCGTCCGAGTCGAGCAGAGGCGGCAGGGCGCTGCGGGGACAAAACTCAACGTTAACGTGTTGC